ATCGATGAAGAGAATCTCATATTTATATAGGTATATACCTTCATCGAGTTTCTTCATCATTCGTAAACAAAGTTAATCAAACGACGATAATGAGTAAGCTATACCCATAAACATTGAAAAAATTTACAAAATTTTCTTCAGGTTTCATTGAAAGTGCTATTGAAAAAAAGACCGGTCTCGATCTTAATCATGATGGATTTGTTGGAAGTGAAAAAAATGCTGAAAAACAATATGGTGTAGATTTTAACGGTGATGGATATATTGGAGGAGAAGGTAAATATCTTTATTTTTCACATCGAATATTATTGTTCATTATTAATTAGGGATAGAAAGCAAAATCGAAAGAGCAACTCATGTTGATCTAAACAATGATGGTATTATTAGTCGTCCATTAGACACATATCCTACTACTTATTAGCAAGTATCTCGTTAAGCTCATTGAACTTTGTAATAAGAATAAATACTTTTCATGTATCACTTTTCTCATATTTATTAATAAAGTTCTCTACACTAACGTCAGGTGATTTTGTTTTGTAACGAAGTTGAAACATCAATTTAAGAACATTTTCATTACTAAAGAACACGAAAAAAATATTGCTGATAGGCGTTAATTGCGCAATATTTTATATCGATAAATGTTTGATATTTTATGTCACTGGAAAAAAAATAATAAATTTGTTCTGCATTTTTATTATTGAAAAACAATTTTTTATCGACGTATATATATACAGGCTCAGTTTTTCATAGTTTAACAAATAAATTTTCAGTCGCAGTCAAGTATTTTTTAAATTATTATCCAATGGATTGTTGTTATGAATGTGATTGCTGTTATGAATGCGATTGTTGTTATGAAATTGATTGCTGTTATGAAATAGATTGTTGTGATCCTTGTGATGATATTCAAATAACATATGTGAAAACGGTGCCAATATGTGAAGAAATCATATGTGTCGATGCAAAACCTCGCAAGTGTTGTCCAGAACCAGTTGAATGCTGTGTTGAATACATAACATGTGAAATTGATCCATGCGACATATGTTGGTAAAATCAAAGAATACACAAACTCATACACTCAGAACTACTCTATTGATTAATTAGTTTTATATATATCCCATCTGTAGTATCTACTTGTGATTTATATTATTAAAATAAAATCTGTTGTAAATACACTAAATGACTACAATTTAGTACGTATTCGTTACATTTGTGAAAGAAGAAAAAACTCAGATAAAACAGAGTACGAAAAATATATATTTCTCAGTATAAACTTGACTCAGTGATATCTAATGTGGGTTTTTTTCGGATATTGATATAAAATAATATAAAAAGAATTGTAAACATCATCAACTTGACACTTGGACAAAACAATATGGCAAAATATATGGAATTTATCTGAAGGATCTCGTCCAGTTTTAGTTATGAGTGATCCTGAATTTCTTTACGAAGTTTCCATCGAACAATTTTCTGGTTTACAGGTGGCGTTGTCAACGTTAAGCAATCAGTCAAACATTGAGTGCAGGAAAATTGAAAATGATGAGTTCTCTTATAAATGGATGTATCAATGATTTTAAAAAGAAATTGTTGATACATGTAGAAAATAGTGAGGAATTTAATATTTATTTGTATTATAAAAGAATGGTAGTGGATGTTATCTGTAAGAATATTTATCGGAATGAGGTTAAAAATCTTATTCTTATAATATTTTTCAGGTCGATGAATAATGCTATTGATACAAATATTTTATTTAGTCTCTAAGAAAACTAAACAATGTAATAAGAGCAGTATTAACGTTGATGAAATAGATGAAGTGATTTAATAAAATATCGTTTTAATATATTTTAATCTTTTATCAGTCGAAAAGATTTCCTTTCATAAAAAAAGCAACTAGCGAAGGTATTTGAATGTTATTTATATTATGAGATTTTTAACTTTTGCATTCAAAAGTGATTCTCATAGTGAATATGTTTGTATTTCTTGTTTCTGTTCATTGACTTTTGTTTATGATGTGAATATATCATTGTATTTAATAATTAATCAAGAATTGTCTTTATAGGATAGACTTATGATGAAGATAATCAAGGGTATGGGTGTAGATGAAAAGTTCGTTTTTCTTCCAACCACATCCGTCTTATATTTATAATTATTTTGATAAAATTTCTTTTTCAGTTAATAGATTTATTTAAAAAAAAATTATTTTGGAGATGAGTTCGTAGGTGGTTTAGGATTACCAACGTTTAACGATTGTGCGTTGACTCGTTGTCCTAAACTTGATAAACCTCCAGGTGGAGCTGGTGTTAATTCATAAATTCCACTTGTAGGAGCAGGAACACCATCAGCAAAAAAGAATGATATATTAGCAGGTAATGGATCATACGATGGTTGAAAATCTTCAATAGAAAAATAAAATAAGAAATTTCTTTCATTTCAATATAAACTTCACACTTACCACCTTGTTGTTGTCCACAGCAAGACATGTTGATACAAAAATAAAAATGAATAGATATAAATGTTAATATTTTAGTATAAGAGAAGCGCGTGGAAACCGATGATGTGTAACACAAAACATAATAACAAATGTCCACAAAGCAAGAGAAAAAAAAGCATTTTAAATACACGTATTATCGTCTATGAGATAGAACGAAGAAACAAAAAACAAACAAACAAGTATATCTAACAAAAAAATATTGTGATAATAATATTTTAAAATAGCCTTGAAAGTAAAAAATATAACTAGATAAACTTTCACTTTTTATTTTGCAAAAAAAAATATTTTTCTCTCTTATTCATATGAGAAATTTAACAGCTGCTGAAAATGAAGAAATATTTAAAAAAAAATAATGATTTCATTTCTTATTTTGCATTCGATTCTTAAGATACAAAACAGAAGATAAATTGATAATGAAGATTATCTTCTTAATTCAAGTAGTTTTACTTGTTAATTCTGTACTGAGTGATTTCATCAATAAAGATTTTGAAACTTATGTACGTGTTGGTGAATATCTAAAAACACATCGTCCATTGCCAACAGGACGAATGGAAACACTAGAAAATAGTAACAATATCGGTATTGGTTATGATCCATTGCACGGTAGTCCTGTTTGCTATACTGCAAGCTGTCAAGTCGATGGTTTTCGTAATTCTATATTCAAACTAAATTACGTTCAAAGTCCACCTGGTGGTTGTACTACAAAACTCATCCCAGAAGCAGTTACAATGCAATGTTTACCAGGCAGCGAAAGATCAACAGATACAGAAGTGATTGATAAATTAGAACGTCTGAAGCAAGTAACAGAAAATGGATTTGAGATCAGTGGCGGCGGTAAATACCAATGGATGTCTGCTAGTTATAAATATTCGAAAGAAACTCGGTTTATGATCGATAAAATCTACCAAGAAAGTTCGGAAGTTTTGTATACTACATTAAAAATATCTCATGCAAAATTATCAATGTTTGAACCAAGAATGAATCTATCGGATGATTTTCGTTATGTTATCGAAAATTTACCATGTTGTGAATACAATGCACTTACTGAAAAGTATATTAATGATTATATTTTTGGTTATTTTGGATATGCCTATGTCACAACACTGGTATTAGGTGGAATTGCACAACAAAGTATGGTAATTCAATCATCAAATGCTACTGCTCTTGAAGCCCAAGGAATTAAAAAAAGTCATGAAGCAGATTTACAGTTCTTATTAACTTTTGGTATGAAACCTAGTGTAAACAGTGATAATCAAACACATGCAATGTTCATGAATCACGTGTCCAAGAGTTATACTACAATGCTGGGTGGCGATCCATCCATAAGTAAAATAGATGATTGGGCTAAGACTGTAAAAGCTAATCCAGTTATTATCAAATTTAACATTAAATATATCTTCGATATTCTCACACAAGCAGAAGGTCGTTTTCCAAATGATCCTAATATCATTATGAAATCTAAACTGATCGAACAAGCACTCAATAATTACATTGATACACCAATCTACTGCTACGGAAATGACTGTTCAGGTCATGGTAGTTGTCAAGATACAGGCTTTTTTCAATTTGGCGAATGTAAATGTCACGATGGATGGTCAGGTATTGATTGTTCGAAGAAAGTCGAAGAAAAACCAAAACCAATGGTCCTAAGCGGTACACTATGTGGTAACAATATAAGTCTTGCCTGTGGTAGTGCAGTTCCAAGACTCGGTTGTCCCGGAGATTGGCAAGATAGTAAATGGTATCATTGCAGTAAGACTATTACTGACAAACAACCAAGTCTTGCTGGTACTATTTGTGGTTATCAAGTTGGAAATTTGACAGTTTTATGCGACGGTCGTAATCCCTATTCAGATGCATGCCCTCAAGACTATCAACGTCATCAACAATTACCTGCAATATTCTGTTATAAAACCAATTCGATGCGTGATGATTTACCTGGTACAATGTGTGGAATACAAGTCATGGTATATACGGATTGGAAGATTTCCAGTTCATATTGGTCAACTGTTACTGAAATCACCTGTGATGGTTATTACCCTGGCAGAGAATCATGTCCACCGGACTATAAATTGCGAATAGGTTATTATACTACCGTGGTCGCTTGTGGATTCTTAGATTTGGGAAATTGCGACAGAATATATAAGTATTCGTTTTGTTCTAAACAATAAACGAAAAGAGTAATTATATCATTTAGCTTTTGTTTCCACTTCTTGTCTATTATTACTAAGAAATATCGATTTTTTTCTGAATGATCGTTTTAAAGAATGATATCTTGAGAGTGTAGGTGTGGGTGTGAGCATCGAATTTCAACTACACCCACACCCACGTTCACCCTCACTTCTTTCTTCTATGATATTATTCATCACCTTGAGAAATGTAGTTATGCCTTCTCTTTCATTACTCATATGCACACCCACAAGATCATGCCTTGTACATATTTTATATGAATATAAATAAATTGAAAACAAGGTATGAGTTTCACTTTTTTATTACAAAAGAACGCATATTAATAAGTTCTTTTTTTGCTTGTAATTAAGGTTTTCGAGCAAAAAAAAAGAATAACGATGTAAATATATCAAGTTTACGAGCTTGTAAGAAACTTGTAACTGATTTTTGACATGTATCACTTATTTTTGTACTGCCTTTAGGAGCTACACGAATTTTTTCTGTAAACCAAATCATATAATGTCCCATGCGTCGAGCAATAGGACCTGTGCGATGAAGATTGGGTGACAATAATGATTCACCTTTATCAAATGGTTGATAATCAGGAATATCAGCTATAGGTATTATTCGATTTTCTTCAACAGTAAAACCAGTAGATTCAAGATCTGTAACGAAATCACGAGTTAATCTTAATTGTGGTAGGGCAAACGTTGCTTCCATTGTACGTATTATTTCAACATGTTCAGGATTTTGAGGATTATATTTATCAGTTAAACAGGCATCATAACCAAGAAATAAACCACCTGGTTTAAGTACACGAAAAACTTCAGCAAAACATTTCGACTAAATCATTGTAAAAAAAACAAAAAAACTTTTTTTTTTATAAAAAGAAAAAAATATGATAAAATATACCTTGTCCGGTGCATGGCATACAGATTCTATAGCATAAACATAATCAAAACTATTATCTTCAAATGGTAACTTCATGAAATCACCAAGAATAAATTCACAATTTTTTGGTACACCTATGAAATAAAATTTTAATTTATAAAACTAAATCGAATGAGAATGCTCACCAATTTCTCGAGCTCGTTGAACTTGATATGGACTAATTGTTACACCGGTAATCTGTGCTCCACTTAAATGTGCAATACGTCTCAATGGTCCTCCAACACCACAACCAATATCAAGTACTTTATCTTCTGGTTTCAGTTGCATTCTTAATGCTAAATAAGATTCATGTCGTTGAATTGATTCTGCAAATGTTTCATTACGATAACGATTGGCACAATGAAAACTTCCACCCCAAGAGAATTCATATAAATCAGTTGTTAAACTATAATAATTTGCTACTAACGTTGAATATTGACCTTTTCGTGCATCGGCATCTTCATGTATTCCATTGAAAGATGAAATATCTTGTTTAAGAGCTTTCCTAGGACGTCGAAAAATCTTTTTTTCTGCCATTATTTTGCTTTTAATAATGCAAATGAACAATTATTTTTAATTATATACGTATATATGTATATAATTGGATACGGCCACGAAGTAAAACAAATATAGGGAGGCGAAAATATGACTAGAAACGTGTCGAAAAATTTTCTGTGTGTTTATTTTTTTCTTTTCGTTCTGCTTAATTTTTCTTCTACACGAAACACATGAAAAATATATTAACGCAATACTGACTCAAACATATTGTCGTTTTATTCTTGCTTGTTTTGTTTCGTTGTCTTTTTATATTATTCTGTATGAGTAATAATATATCCTCCGTATTCATTCAGTTATTTAAAATTGACTTGAAATCTTTATTCCAAATATATATTTTTCGTGTATTCTTTGATAATTTATTGTACTTACAATCTTTCTTTCGAATCGACTGACATATTTGAAGTGGATATATTGCCATCAATTTTTTATGAAGCTTGTGATATTTTATCATATTCACAAGTTTGCTATTGTTCTTTCAAAGTGAAAAGAATTTCTGACTAAATATAAAGTAAATAAGGTATATTGTGTTTTGTGGATAGCACATCGAGAAAATGTTTTAAAATTATAATTTAATGATCGTATTTTTTTCATTGAACTACGTTAAGAATAAGAAAGGAATAGTATTCGTATCGTTTTTTATATATGAAACAATATTGAGAATGAGATAGAACTGTTTGCTTTTATCATATGATTCTGTTTTATTATTGATTTATATTAAATAATGATTTTTTTTATATGAAAGATTTCAACTGAGTTAATTTGTTAGTGTCAATTTTTATAGTGACAACATTGTTTATAAGGTATTTTATTTAATTGAACTATTCAGATGAACATTAGTAGGCAATCAAGTCATTGCAAGAGGCGGCGAAGATAATGGTTGATCTGAATAATCAATGATTTCTGAATCTATTGAAATTCTTGTACCATCCTTTGTACGTTGGCGTTTTCGAACATTTTGATTGATCTTCGTTTGAAGATTCCAACGCCGATTTTCACGTAATCGACCATTATTTGCACTTTTAGTCTTTGATAACAAAGTTCGTAGTCTGGATGACTGTGGTAAGTGTGAGTTTAACTACAAAAGAAAAATAGAAATATTAAAAAGATTTCCATATTCAAAAAAAATGACTTACATCTATAGGTATTTGCCCCTGATTCGTCTGAAATTCGTCCTCAGCTTGATTATCATGAGGTATTAGAATACGTCGATGAATGGGATGAAACCAAAGTTTATAAAGAAGAAAAATCATTGCAAATACTTCTATAAGTGAAAAACTAAAGAGAATGGTATGAAAGAAAAGTGCTCCTCGACGAATGATTGGTGATTGATTATTTTGAACAAAATAGATTTCTTCTGTAAGCTGTATATTAATAGTCGTTTGTTCAGAAGTATATCGTAAGTATTTTCCTTTGTCTGCAAAATATAATTCATCCGAGAGAATATCAATATAAGTTATAAATGGAGCCCAAATACCATCGAAATACGTTTTATCATTGCGTCGTAATGGCTTTGTTATATTAATAACTTTAATAAGACGTACAGTAAAAGCAGTTGACAGTCCAATAGTTTGATTATTCGTATAAAAAAGAGTACATACATCAAGTTCATGTAGTTGATGTAATGTCATATCTTCAGTTTCACTATCAGATTTTCCATATAGACAAAGACGAAGTGCTCCAATAAAGTTAGGTCCATTGATACCAACTCGAACAATCGACGTATGCGTAGGCAGACTAAAACTGAACGAACCACTAACATTATTCGGTGATAAGGTACACTTTTTTTCGACTAACGATAATGGAGTACCTGTATGTCTCTTACGTTCAACAGTAATATCATCACATTGAGCTCGTGTATTTATCAGATGTATAGTCATAGTAAATGGTTGTTTATTGAGCATATCGAATATTTTCCAATAAGTACCATCGGTTCCAGGTAAAGGCAATTGAAGTGCATTATCAAATTTCGAATTTCGTTGATCGTCATCACATGCTTTGTTGACTGCTTCTGTTGTCTCGATAGGATATGAATAGAAGTAAAAGCAAGCAAATACAACACAATATATGATAATAGTAAAAATAACGATTGATGCAAGACCACCAATCCATCGTTCTCCTTGTCCAATAAGATCATTATGCTTGAAAACAATCTTTGCTCGTTGACGATAAGTATCGATCGACGTTATATGTCGTCGTTTAATAAGAAACATAATAAGCCATGTCATTAAACATAGGATTGTAGCTACTGCAGTCCAGAAAACAGGTGTATAAATCAAACAACCGATATTCTTATTAGTAGGAAAAAAGTTTAATAATAATAAATCATCGTAATTATCAATGATCGGTGTATCTGGATAACTAAATGTTTGAATATATGAACTAAAATCAGTTAAATTAACGTCATCACTAGCACCTGATGAGCAAAATGCACCTGTATTACAAGGTTGACATTCAACTGATGGATAATATCCAGAATTTTTTGTACCAGGTGGACAAATCGTGCACGGACCAGGACCAGATACATCTTTAAACGATCCACTCACACACGGTTTCGGTTGCAAGACATATAGATTTGAAAAATTAATTGATCCGAGTTCCATAGAACAAAAACCAGGAGCGGCAGACGGAATATATACAATATCACCATTTCTTAAAAGAATTAATAAACTATTTGAGCGTGTTCGAATCCGACGAAAAGAATGTTTGCGCCAAGACTTCGAGCGTTGAATATCATTCAATGTCTGTTGATTATTTGGAATAACAAAACTAGGTATAATTGAACCACGAGTTCGATTAGGACATATATTTTTATATACTTGTATTTCTGATTGCGATGAATTGTGATTCGTCGATTTAGAAACAAGTATAGCAAGTGTTTCATCATCAGTGAGCCAGATAACTGAACGACCAAAACCAGTCCAATTTTCAGATTCACTAATTTCATAAAATTTCGAAATAAATCGAAATGTAGTATTACCATCCATATACGCAATCGTTACTTTATTTAATTGAACTTCACCAATAGCTAATGCCGTTCCCGATGGATTGATTGAAA